GCCATACCTTTTTCATGACAGCACCCATTCTTCTCCCTGCCTTTCTACCAGCTCCTGCGGTAACTGCTGCTGGCCTTTTAAACTGACATAATGCTACCTTGTAGAATAAAAATTAAGACTACTAATTTTTTTTTTCAGTGACTAAATAATCCTTATGTCAAGTTCTTACATGGAAATTTCCACAGCTACATATAAATTTGTATCTGGGATGCCCAAGCAAGATACAGAAAAGTTTCAGTATACTTGTTATCTGAAATAATGTCATATAAAACAAGGACAACGGCACAGTCAGCTTCAATTGTCGACGGAATACACCAAGAAGGAGCAATCTCAATTGTGGAATTGAAGCCAGCGTTGGCAGGCTGTTTGGTGTTCCAGGGTTATAAGGATTAATGTTTTAATAAGGCCCGGGGATCTGATCAGATCTAACGGAGGTCGTGGTCACGAAACAACTCAACTCCTGTGAAAAGCCCTTCTAATCCCTATAGCCTCCAAAATGTAAGCCTACTCCCCTCAATGCGAAAAAACTGATTTTAAGCTTCTGTACTGGTTGTTGTTTTTTTTGTTTTTGTCAACTTGACACAAACCTGAATTAGTGATTACTATAGGAGGGCCCTGCCACTGCAGCACTGCACTGCCACCCCAGGCAAGGGGCCCTGGGTTGTAGAGGAAAGCAGGCTGAACAAATCACGAGTGAACAAACGGTGAGCAGCATATTCAATGGCCTCTGCTTCAGCTCCTGCCTCCAGGTTCCCGCTCCGAGCTCCTGCCCTGACTTCCCTTCATGATGGACGGGGATCTGGATATGTACTAAATCAATTCTTTCCTCCCCATCTGCTTTGGGTCTTGGTGTTTCATCACAGCATCAGAAACCCTAAGTCAGTTTCCTAGAGTAGAAAGCCAGTCTCCTATAGACGAGTCCATGAGCTGACGAAACAAGAGTAACTGTGAAAAATCCATAGTAGAAGTCTGTAAAAACTCCATGATTTTAGCTGAGGGTTGGGAAATCTACTAGAAAATTAGCATTTTTCAACTATGAATATAAGCAACAGTCAGAGTTATATTGGATTCTCTGTGCTCACTATCTAAGTCACTACTCAGAGATAAAAAAAAGAAAAAACAAGAGTAAAAGAACAATCTTGGTTGGCATTAAATACTTTCTAAAACCAGTAATAGGCAGTACATTGCAAGTAAAATAGCACATGAGGCAGAGTAACCAGAGGGAATTACCCACTTAATTATCAGAAAAAGAGTGACCCAAATATACTGTCAAGTCACTATTTGCTATGAACTAATAATGAAAAGCCTTTCCACTTAATGCTTTAACGGTTTCTCAAATAACGTTAATATAATCTTCTACCTTATACAGTCTACCATGAATGCATTAGCTAATGAGAACCACGCCTTACATCTCTAGCATGCTTCACAACCTTATCAAGTAATTTCATGTGTATTACAGATTTTGAACCTAATCACATCTTTTCTGGGAGTTACTCAGGTTCTAGAGCATATATTCTAAAGGACTGAGAAATAGCTTAAGCTAAGAACAGTGGCTCATTCATGCCTATAATCCCAAGCACTCAGGAAGCTGAGGCAGGAGGACTGCTGGGCAGGAAGCCAGCCTAGGATGCCTAGTGAGCTTCTGATCACCCTGGCCTTTGTTTAGAAATACACACACACACACACACACACACACACACACACACACTTCTATACATTTATGTAAGGATAATTAAAAAAAAAAAAGCCATGAATTTGAGGAGGGGGGAGTGGAAGGAGAGGGTGAAAGTACAGAATATATATATATATATGAAAGCTTAAATTGATATATAAATAAATTAGATTAGCCCATCTAAACATTAAGTCAGCTTTTCTCTTCCATGTCAAGCAAAATTTTCAAAAACTTGGAGAGCTAAGATCCAATCACAAATCCATCTCCTCTCTGTAAGGTGAAGATTCTTTGATATTTGTGAGTCTAATATTGTAGAAACCACATTTCAATTCAAAAATCTCTCAGTCTACCTATTAAATGAGCTACTCTACCATCTCTAAGAGCTACACTTGGTCCTGTTAATCATTTTCATTATGAGGACCTAACAGTCAATGAATGCCCTTGACTCTTAACCTAAAAGAACTCAGAGCCAGCCCATGTGGTTCAGTGAACACGGCCCAGGCCACAGAGCTCTAGTACCTTCACCAGAGGATCCTCACGGAGGTACTGCCGTGTGTGGCCCGCCCTTCACATCAGCACCGTTCTACAGATGTAAAAGCTTTGGAGAAAACCCCTGCAGTCAAGGTCAGAGCTTAAGAACGTAACGTTTCACCAATCTATAAAATTTTCAAATTATTAGAAGCTCTGGTCAAGTTAACCTAACACAAGGCTGATAAGATAACTCAACGGATAAAAGTGCTTGTCACCAAACCTGACCTGAGTTCAATTCCCAGGACCCACATGGTGGAAGGAGAGAACAGACTCCAGAAAGCTGTCCTCTGACTTCCACATCCACATTGCACCATGTGAAAAAAAAATGTAAGTTCACCTGTTAGAGCCAGAAGATGGTACAACAGATAAAGGTACTTGCTTGTAAGCCTGATGCCTCAAGTTCAATTCCCCAAAACCCACAAGAAAAGCCAACTGCAGGGACTAGAGGCCTGGCTCGAGAGAGCTTCCTGCTCTTGCAGAGAAGCCAGGCTCATTTCCCAGCACACCATCAAGCAGCCATGATCTCTGTAATGCAGCTCTCCAAGGGATCCCATGCACCCTGGCCTCCTCAGGAACCCGCACGCATGCCCATGGTGCGCAAAATGCAAGCAGGCACATGTAAATCTCTAAAAATACACAGACAGAGAGAGAAAGAGAGAGAGAGAGAGGGAGGGAGGGAGGGAGGGAGGGAGGGAGGGAGGGAGGGAGCGAGCGCCGGATGTAGTGGGAGCATGGCAACAGGAATGAGAGACCCCTACCTCAAAAACAAAGCAGAACAAAAAAAAAAAAGAACAAGTTCACCTGAGCTCCGACCTGCACTTTACACCATCTAAAGCTGAAGCTCACTCACAGGCCTGGAAACGCACTTCTGACAGATGATGGGAAGTGAATATGATCTGACATCAATCACAGAGGGAACTAGAGCCAGGCAATAGCAAAGAAGGGAACCTGGAGGTGAATAAAAGAAACTATTTCCCACCCTAAGGGCTTGCTGTCTATCACTTACTCTTGGTTTACCAGGTCCTCATCCTCTGAGGATGATGCTGTCTCTTCCAGGTCCCGGGCCATCACAACTGGCATTTCCTTTGGGGTCTGTCATACAGTCAGCAGACAGAGGCCTCAGAGACCTTTCTTCCTTGCAGTCTCACTAGATCAAACAATTTGGATGGCACAGACTCCTGTAAGAAAGTCGAAAGACTTCAAAGACAATGCAGTTGCACACTTCAGGATTTTGTACATGATCGTTAAGATGAAATATATTTCTGAGTATTATCCAACCTTTAAAAGCTTACCTTCTAACAGCTCACAGTACACCTCATATACCACAAAAATCAGTATTTTTTTCTTTTGTTTGTTTTTGTTTTTCAAGATAAGGTTTCTTTGTGTACCCCAGGCTGTCTTGGAACTCACTCTGTAGACCAAGCTAGCCTGGAACTCAGAGGTCTGCCTGCCTCTGCTGGGATTAAAAGTGTGTGATACGATGCCCAGCTTAAGATTTTTTTTTTTTCAAACAGATACTGTCTCTGCTGTATCTAAAAAGCTTTTACTAAATTTGAGTTGTTGTACATAGTAAAAGTAGCAAGCACCAAAAAGGATAGGCTTTAGGGCACTCTGATGTGGTTGGCTGATTGTCTACATTTAGAAAATTCTTTGCTAGACAAATCTGATCAGGATCAAAATAAAATTCCAAGGTTCAAAACACTTGTGAATATTTATACAGACTCTACCACAAGCATACAGAGTAAGCTGTTACGTTTCTAGGAAAACCAGTTCACCTGAATTATTAATAAAAGGGTAGTGAAAATATTTCTTCTTGGCAGGGATCACATAAATAGCTGGGGAAAGGAGAAGTCAAATACACTATAATTACTATTACTTTTTTTAAAATCACAAATTTTTATCCGGATCTCAAGTAGACACATAAAATTAGGAAATTTCCAACTCCCGCTTCTAACTTCAAACACTTTCCATGGAAGAAAAGTTTCATGTTCGTTGTTGAGAAAATAGAAACGTATAGGAAAAACGCTCAACCATAGTGTCACTACTCAAAGATAATCAATTCATGGCAATTTCCCAAGCTTTTGCTTATCTGTGCATTTATATATACGATACGACTCTAAAAAACACAGTAACTGCAGCAGGCAGCAACAGCAACTAACCCCGACCCTACACATCTTCAGCAGAAATGAGTAATACCTAACAACCTCAATGATTCCTTTCGGGTGATTCCTAAAGGAACTTCTCAATCTTGCCCAAAATGCTTGAGAGTCTTGTAAGTTAAAATAAAACCTTCAGGCAGAAAGGGATGCCCACCTTTCCTTGGCTTCCTGAAGAGCAGAATGAGACCGATGCTCAGAAGATCACAGACACTATACCAAAGGAAGTCCTTGCCCTTACAGGGACCTGCCACCAGCTCCACCCCAGCACACCCCAACGCCAGGCAGCTCCGCAGGCAAGGACGCGGCGACTCTGCGGCAGCGCTTCTGCACAGCACGCCCGGAAGCCAACAGCTGCTCCGGAGCTCGGAGGGAAGCGCGGCGGCGCCCGCCTAGCCCTGGAGCGCACCTCTCCGGAGCGCGCCGGCGCAGGCGTTTACCTGTCTCATCTTCTCATGGCTCGGGGCCGGCAGGCGGGGACCACGCTCTGCTTCACCTCCTTCCTCCTTCCCCAGCCGGAATCAACGCAGCCGCCGAAGGCTGCTGCTTCCCCCGTTACTACAACAACCAACAAGCAACCGCCCGCTCGAAGCCACTGCGCAGGCGCTCCCCAGCGGCGCGAACAACGCTCGACTGCGGGCGCTGACGGATGGCGTCACCACGGCGCGCTCAGGCGCCAGAGCCAAGCCAGGCTGTCACCAGAAGGTTTCTTGGTTTCTTTTCTCTCTGCGTTTTCCCCCACCCCTAAAAGACTGACTCCAAACTCAGAGTTCCGCCACACTGGACAGAAGGGTTTACCGCGTGAGCGGCGCAGCAGGGAGAGGCTCAAGCGGCGGCAACTGCTGATTGGCAGCAAAGGGGTTCACTCCCTATCGCCTGCTCGAACTGAACCAGCCTAGCCAATCAGAGCGAGGACTGACAAAAACGATCCAATCCTGGAGCTGGGCGGAGGGAAGGGGCGGGAACAAGTGGCCCAGGTGGACTTGGGACCGGAGCTGTCCTGGGGGAGCTGGTTTGCGGATGCTGCTGATATTGCTGCAGTAGTACTGGGTCGTCAGGTAGGAGAATTTGGAGTGGGATGTAGACATTCGTGTTGCATCTGAGTAAAACTATCTGCAAAATTTAGGAAAATGGGGGTTGCCTGGAAAGCTACCGGGGGAGGTGGTGGAATCTAGAATCGGTGTCCAAAGGGGGTGGGGGTGGGTGCTAGGAAAATGGAGATGGTTTGGTAAATTCTGGGAATGGATGAGTGAACGGAGAGTCGTTATGAGCTAGCTCTACAACGACCTTTCACTTTTTCTCATGTAATTATCCGGTAACCCTCGAGATAGATGTTTATATCCCCATTTTACGGATGAGAAAAACCGAGTCTCTAGAGTCTCACTGACCTGTCTGAACCCCCCCCCCGAGCTGAGTGGTAGAGCTAGGATAGAAATCTACCTTTATTGATTGTTAATTAGTGTCTCATCCATGCTGAACTGGGCAAGGACAAAATTGAGGAATAAATGTTGTAAACCTCGCCCCTCCCACCACCTCAAAACTCCAGGGAAATGGGTTTAATGAATTTGGTAGAGCAATACAGAAATGCTCTGGTGTGCCTTCATTAGCTCTGGGATTTCTAAGATCTATGAAAGGGAAAGTGTAACTTCTGTGGGGGTTGTGGGGGGAGGCATGCGAGTGCCACGCAGCTTTTCAACTAACCCAAGCTGGTGTTGAAGGGAGGAAGTAAAGAAAAGTAGATCTTGGCACACGCTGTGAGTGCCTGTAAAGATGAGCACACCCCATCATTTCTAGACTGGGACAGTCCGGTTGAGACCACTTTCCTCTGGGTCCACCCTTTTTCTCCTGGACCCCTTTTTAGTTGGTTTTTCGTCACTTCACTTGATATCTGTATGGAATGGGTAGTATGGAATCACACTGAAACATATTACCACAGTGATAAAGGAAGCCTGATAGCTTCTTACAGCTTTTAGGCCAAAGCAGTTTGCCTGACAACAGATAAACAAAGAGCCAAAATGATGGTGGTCATGACAGATTGTCTCTGTGGGATCCCTTTAGATCTGATAGAAATCAAGACACAGCAAGGCTTGAGCTAAATGAAAAGAACAGAACCTAGCTCTTCTACCAGCCGAAGGCAGATGCATTACTGGTGGTTTTAGCTCACTCAAAAAATGGGAACTTGGCTGCACATGGCGGCACGTACCTTTAATTCCAGCACTCAGGAGGAAGAGGCAGATATGGATCTCTGTGAGTTTGAGACCAGCCTGGTCTATGTAGAGTTCCAGACTAGCCACATTGTAAGACCCCGTCTCAAAATAAGTAAATAAATAAGTAAATATTTTTTTTAAAAGACGAGAACTTTATCAAAACGTTCTGTGAGGGAGTATTGCCACAGAGGCCACAGACCCAGGCCACAGACCCTGGCACTTGGCCACGTATTAGCTGTTACCTAAGCAAATCACTTAGCTCTTGGTTCTGACCCCCACTGTCAAGTGGAAATACTAGTAGTACCTGCCTAACCTGATGTAGAGAGTGAATGGAATAAGATGTCATATACTTGGGGCAAGTGTAAGTGTAGGATACAAGTGTTCTGTAGCCATAGCTACTGTGCTTTTCTCACAGCCCAACACCAAGGGATGACAGGTTTTTTTCAAGTCTTTTAGATCGTTTTAGTTTATGAAACATGATGTGTCTGGGAGCCAAGCAGAGGAAAACTAAGAATACCAGACAGTTACACCATAGCTTCCGTTCAAATGTATGATACAGCTTCTATAAATTTGGAAGAATGTGTCCAGGTATCTCAGTACATTTTGAGTCACCCTTGAGCTACTTGGGAATGGTGTGAAGAGATGAAGGCATAGTACTGATTCCAGGCAACTGGAGGGAATCATGACTTACAGCAGTACTGTGCTTTGGGGGGTGACTTGAACAAAGGTAAATGCAGCGCCACTTGCTGCAAAGTGTACTGGTCATTCACCTTCATTAGAGTAACCGAGCACTGGCAGGAACACAGGCTTGACCCAGAAATCCATTCGATTAGAGAAATGTTAGTCCTCCGCCATTTCTTCTGTCCTTGCCGTGTCTTTTGCTCTAGACTTGACATTCCCACCCATTTCTTTTTTTTTTTTTAAACCTCTGAGACAGAAGTTTGCTGAGCAAAGATCAGCATACCTCTGTTTAGGGTAAATATTCCTAGGCGTCTTGTGAAATAAAAGTGGTGTAGCAAGAAACAGGGTGGGGCCGAAGGACTAGCAGAGGAATTTGTGAAATGTTCTACCGTCATCACTCAGGACAGCCCTCATGAGTGGGACACAGGTTAGAGAGCTTGTGTTGGATGTGGAAATAACTTTCAGTATGCCCTCTTTGTTCCCAAGGCAGGGCGCCCTCTCTTTGAGGGGAGTCATGAGCCGCTTCCTGAATGTGCTCCGAAGCTGGCTGGTTATGGTGTCCATCATAGCCATGGGGAACACGATCCAGAGCTTCCGAGACCACAGTTTTCTCTACGAAAAGCTCTACACTGGCAAGCCAAACCTTGGTAAGAAGTCAGAACTGTCTGGGCATCATAGCACATGCCTATAATATCAGCACACAGGAGGATAGGGCAAGAAGGTTGAGAGTTCAAAACCAGACTGGGCAACTTGGTGAGATCCTATGTCTAAAAATAAAGTCATTAAAATAATGAAAAGAACGTAAGGAAGCATATTCTGTGTGGCACTGATATAGCTTTCGGTTCCAGAGTCAGCCATATGTCTGACCAGTTCAGGCTCCTTATTAAGTCTGGCTGGGAATCCAGTTCCAGAAATACCTAGGTGGTTCTGATGCCTAATCTAGTCTTGGTAGCCACTTGAACAGCAGTTCTCAACCTGTGGGTCATGACCCTTTGGGAGTCAAACCACCCTTTAACAGGGGTCTCAGATCAGATATCCTGCATATTAGAGATTTAATTATGATTTTTAGTTGTAACGTTAGCAATGAAATAATTTAATGGTTGGGGGTCACCACAACATGAGGAACTGTGTTACGGGGTCGCAGCTTTAGGAAGGTTGAGAACCACTGCAATAGAATAATAGAGCATGCAGGAAGCACTTGGCCCCTTTTTGCCAAGCTTCTCTGGATACGTCACCATTCATTTGCCACTGCATCGGACAATTTATGTGTTCAGAAGCACTGGCATGACGGCAAGCAAGGAAATAGGATTCCATGTTGGTTCTGGAATGCTGCTAGGAAGCCATGAAGAAGCCTTTTACCATAGCTCAGTGCCCTCGTTAGAAATCAGTCCGTGTAACAGGTAGACAGTTACTCATCCAAGATCTTCCCAAACTGAGATCCCTGAGTGGAGCCCCCAGATCCGTCTAAGCTCCTCTCTGAGCCTCGCCTGCAGCTCACAGTGCCCTCCCTCTACTCAAACAGTTCTCACGAGTATATGCCCACTGCAGCTGGCACTTTCACCCCATTGACACGAGGTACTTGGCGCTACATCTCTGATTGACAGCAGCTGACAGCTCTTGTCACATTTATAGCTAACCCAGATCCAGGCTCTGACCTACTCTTTTCTCTGCAGCATCTAGGTAGAAAGAAAACTAAGTAGGCTGAGCCTGATTTTGAACAAAGTTCAAATATAATGGGAGTCAAGAACCTGGAGGAGTGAGCAGGAAGGTTATTCTGGTTTGTTTTTTTTTTTTTTACTCTCAGTTGCTGCTCACAGGTAGTCATGGAACCTGTGTAGATAGATGCATAGAGCAGGACTCTAGGCAGTCTAAACATGTAAACTTCCCCTTGATCTTAGTCTGGTTTTCAGTGTCTCACACTAGAGGGATTTCTTCAGTCTTTTCACTAGAAAAGCCATCAACTTGGTTTCTAAAGAATGTAACCCCAAATGGCTGACATATCCAGTATTTTCTCATTGCCACCTAAAAGGTCTTTGGTGTGAATTTAGTAGAGCTGTCTGCAACTCCAAAGACTGAAGAATTTTTAAAGTTCAAGAGAACGTTAAGCCTTTTAGTTGTCAGTCTTGTCCATTGATCACACACACACACACACACACACCGGTGCTGAGAATCAAACCCAGGACATCTTATCTTGAATGCTAAGTAGGTGTTTTACAACTAAACTATTTCTAGACTGTTTTTACTCTGTAAGAGACACATCAGCAAAAGAACTAGCTGTGCTTTTGGTGTTTGAACATTTCGAATCCATGAGGTGCTTCAGCGTGTTGGCTATACACTGAAGTCACCCACAGAGGGTGCTTCTAGAAGATACTTATGTCAGAACTCAGCTCTGGAGAGTACCATGTAACTGGTCAGGTGTCCAGACCCTGATAATTTTATAAAGCTCCCTCAGGTGATACAGAAAGCAGTCAGGGCCAGGAGCCACTGTTACAGTGAAATGACTCAAATCTTCAGGGCAAGATAGTGAACACAATACCATCATAGTGAAGCCACCAAGAACAGGTGACCCCAGCAAACCCCAGAGAAATAGTGCCTGTTTCCACTTCCATGTACACAAGAAGCCATCCTGGTTGGAACTCTGTCCCAATACAGCAGATATTAGACCTCTTAAAACCGTGTCTTGAAGACATCTCCATTGGTGCTGGTATCCAATCTCTCCTAGCAGTCTAAAAACACTTTTGGTTCTGCTAGGTATCTTATATGTTCCTACCCAGCTCTATGTATTCCCGTCCAACTATAGACATGTGAAGAGGATTAAGCAGCACTCAGAATTCCTTCCCTTCCCCAGGGGCCCACACGGAGAGGTCAGGCTCAGCTGCCTTTCATGCATCGCCAGGGAAGCAGACTAGCGTAGGACAAGGCTCACCTCTGCCCTCCTTTCTCACCGCTTTTGTTTCTTTTTAACTGCACAGTGAATGGCCTCCAAGCCCGGACCTTTGGGATCTGGACGCTGCTGTCATCAGTGATTCGCTGCCTCTGTGCCATTGACATCCACAACAAAACGTACGTCAGGGAAAGCAGGCCTCTGGCTTCCATTTGTTGGTAGTCAGCTCCGCCCATGTGCCCTGTCCTGCTGTTGGTACCTGTTGAATCACTTTACTGCAGTGGCATAGCACATAGAAAATGAAAGTCCTGTTGAACCATTCCTTCCATGTCTCAAATGTGTACGGGCCTAACAGGCCATAGCAAGTGGCATGGTACTGTCTAGTGGTTGGCGGCATACCCCTTGATTACAGCACACCTTTCTCCTACTAAAGAACTGGCAAAATCAGAGGAGAGCCATAAATGTTGCTTCCTCTCTTCCCCAGAGAAGTGTCATGCTCAGTTTAGTCTCGGGGTTTGGTTTGGTGTCATTTCACAGTGCTGGGGACCAAATGAAGGAAGGACTTGAGCCTAGGTGATAAGTGCTCAAGTGCTGGGCCACTACACCCCTGTCCTGTACACACCTTCTGTGCCTTCCTTCTTAGTCAGGAATCCAGGGAAAAGAAACTCATATTCTCTCTCTCTCTCTCCCTCTCCCTCTCCC